CGATGCGGCGCGGCACGGCGTGGCGCGGTCGAATGACTCAGACCGTTCGCCAAGAAAGGAGACAGCACCGATGTTCGCGATTTTCATTTCACGTTTTTCGTTACTTTACTCTTGTTCCAATAACTCGATCCGTCAACAGTTGTCCCTATATGCATCGCGGATCGATGGTTATCTAATCTTAAACTCGGTAATAACATTTACAGCTTACGCTCGTCCATATAAATAGAAATACTTTCTATTGTTCTATCCGCTACGATCGAAGGGCAGTTTCGAATCGATTAACGAAACGAATATCCGATTATCGTTCGAAATTCTCTCGTCACCATCATCTTGTAAAGTAACGCGATTACGAATGTTTCTTCTTCTTCCTTTATGTCACTTCCTTTATTTATGTATTTATTTCTTTTTCGAAACGATGCGGTTCGAAGCAAATCCGTTACTCGTACGTAACGCAATGTAACGCAACGCAACGCGGGGCGACGCAACAAGTGGGCAAATCCCCTCTCCTCCCTTCCTGATGGCGCGATCCACCATCCATCGATGGGAATCGTTCGCATTTCGCGGTCCACAGTCAAATCGCTGCGAAAGAATCGAGTTGTTTCTCGCTCGTTCTTGTTGCCGTTTCGATCGAAAATCGAAATGGAAAGCGGTGTAGGGACGCGTGGTCGATTCGCGACGGGGGACGACGGTTTGTACCAAGCCGTGCACGTGGGCGCTGCATCCTTATAAGGACGCCCGTCGCGAGATTCTTACTTCGGCGAGCCATACCTTTTATCCAATCTTACGTCATCTACGTTTCCTCGCCCCGATATCTTCCCGATAAACCTTCGAATATCTTTTCGACGGAATAATTGGGATAAAAGTCTCCCCTTTCGATATCCACCATCCAAGATCGAAGGCACGCTTCTCGCTATCTCGCTTTTTCCAACGATCGATTCGAACACGGTTTAAATTTCATTCAGATGGGAGTTTCTAAATTTCGCTTTAATTTTAATTGCTGCTGCGAATTGTTTACAAATATATCATTATACGAATGGAAAGAAAATGGATGGATAAAAAAGTTTGCGATTAATTTGTTTCAGGTCGTGTTCATTCGGCAGTGGTTTCGGGTATTAATTGGGAACAACGCACCGTTACCGTAGAATGGTTCGAGAGAGGAGAGACGAAAGGAAAAGAGGTATATATATTATACGGTATATTCGTAAAGTCGAAAAGCAAAGGATAGAAAATTCATAATTCGAAATTCGTCTCGATTTTAGGTCGAGATAGATGCGATCATCGCGTTGAATCCCGACCTGACCAATCAGAAAACCATAGAATCACCCGCTCAGATGAACAATCACACGTTGATATCTTCCAGGGCACGGGTACGTATCTCACGATCGTTCGATCGCTCGATCGCTCGATCGCCTCCTCTCCTTAAGAAACGTCGCGCGGCAACGTTGGACGAACGAATAGGTAAAAAAAAGTGTAGAAGAAGGAAAGAAAGAAAAGGAAAAAAAGAGAAGAAAAAGATCGTAACGCGAATTCTCCGTCGAGCCGTTACGCGATATCTACGCTTTAGCCCCGCCTCTTCGCGTTTTTTCTTTCCGCGATCGATCTCGAAATCGCGCGTGTACGTAGTTTTTTCATACCATTCCNTTCGTTGTGCGCGTGAGAGAGAGAGAGAGAGAGAGAGAGAGCGAAACGGATCATCGCCGATCGAGCGGCCTCTCGTCGTTCCTGCTATTAACACGATTACATCTTTTTTCCTCCATGGACGCTGCTCATTATCACGGATTTGGGCCTGCGATGGATCATCTCACCGATCTCGGGCCTCCCCCGTCCGAAACCGATCGAATCCCAATACGCATCGCCGTCTCATCGCCCGCCCCGCGTCTCCGCAATCTGTCTCCACCCACGGCGCCACCCCTCTCTATTCGACGATCTCGCGAACGCGATCGCGACTCCTCCCTCTCCCCCCCCCGAGATATACTCGAAATTGTTCTCGTCACGCCGCGAAAAAAAAAACCGCACCATTCCATTCCGAACGAACGGAAACGCAGGATTCTTCGGACGAGGAAGACGAGGGGGTGGACGAGTCGGAAAACCAAGAGGAGGGCCCCCTTGGACGGCACAGCGGTCACACCGCAAG